AATTTTATTTCATGTGGCTAGAGATAATTGTAATTTTTCGATGTTCTTGGACCCTTGGTGTAATGTTGTAGCTATCTTGGAACTCTTTCAACCTCCGCATGCTTATAACCCTCAAGCTAAAGAGTTCATTTCTAAGGGTGCCTGGAATTTGCTTGAATATTTTGGTCCTCTGGCTTCTCAACGCATCTCCTCTATTCCTATCTTTGATCAATCTCCTATCGCCTGGATTGGGTCTGACAAACCTGGTTTCAAGACTTTTTATATGCATTTCTTTAGTGATTATTAGACTATTTCTTGGCACAAATTTGTCTGAAATAAACGTTTTACCCTCAAATTATCATCATTTGTGTGGATGGCATTTCGAGATGGATTAAAAACTGCAGATGTTTTAGCTAAAAGGAACATTCTTGTTGCTGGAAATTGCTCTCTTTGCTCCTCGGGTTTTGATAATATCAACCGCATTTTCTTTCAATGTGATTTCTCTTTTCTAGTGGTTTCTCTCCTCTTACCGCTCTTGCAGGAATTTTTATTCAGGCCTACATTACTTCGATGTTTTGAATTTTTCCAAGATCATCAGCTGCTTAAATCATTTGAGAAGGTTTTTTGTTTTTGTTTATTTTCTCTCTTTTTTTTTTTTTTTTTTTTTTTTTTTTTTTTTTTTTTTTTTTTTTTTTTTTGTGTTATGCTGCTCGGTTTACTTTATTTTGAGGGAAAAAAATCATAGACGTTTTGCCATGAAGAATTCTTCTTGTCAGAGTACCCTTCGTAAGATTTTTTTTTTTTGGGAAAAACCCTTCGTAAGATTTTTTTTTTTTGGGAAAAACCCTTCGTAAGATCATTAAGGCTATCCATGCTAAGACGTCGAGATGGGAAAATTACGAGATTTTGCAGTCTTCATTCCCATCGTTCTTCAGATTATGATTTTGGTCTATGGGGGGTTCTGGAATACCCAAGATTTTGGTGTTTTTTTTTTTTTTTGATGAGGTAGATTACTGGGAATTTCACCTACCCCATGTGGACAATGATGTATGGAACTGACATCCTTTCAGCTTCTCCCCTTGAATGGCCCGTTGCAATCCTCTCATATCTGCCTGGATGCTCTCGATGTTGAGTAATTATTTTGTCCGAACACCGAACGCAATCATAGACCAATAACAAGGCGCCACGTCACTTGGGTGCTCGGTACCGTGCTCAGTACAACACTCGGTATCGCTCGGTATTTCTCAGAATTTCCAATTTTTCATCCGAACGTAATAACTTTTCGATGTTGAGGCCCTGTTTTTCTTTCTCCTTGCTTTTTGTTAATGCTCTTTTTTTACTTGTATTTTGGGCTTAAAGTTGTTCATTGGTTCTTTTTGTAATTCATGATTTTAATATACGGGCTTTGTTCAAAAAAAAAAAAAACCCTCTTTAAGAATTTTTCCACTGGAACATCTTTTCACAAGAAAATATATATGAAGTACTATACTATTAAAAAAACAGTATGTTGACAGAAACATGAGGAGTTGTGTTTTCAAAAACAGCAAGTAGTTAAAAGATCAAATAAGAGTAGGAGAACCGAACAAAAAATCAGATAAAGGTAAGTTAGGAAATACAAATAACAATTAGAAGATGACAAAATGAATATAGCAATAAGAAAAACAAATCCAAACCACTGCAAATAAACAAGAATACCAACTACTCACTACAAAAACTTAAAAAGGGCGAGATTTTATTTTAAATAAATCAAATTATATAACTCAAGTGAACACCAGGAGTGTTACACATCTCATACTAATCTGTTGGTTGAGAATTTTGACTACCAATTAAGAGATTTTGAGTTGAAGCTGGCATAGCAGCTCTACGGCGCACATCCTTCTCTTTTTTTTTTATTGAACATTTTAGGTCAAAGATTTCAAATCCAATATCTTTTAATTGATAGTCGAAATTCTCAACGAACAGATCAAAAAGAGCTACGTCACATCCTTATGTTGAGCACTTGTTACTAAAGAGCAAGCTGAAGGACAAGCTTTATAGTGCTGTTAACAGCACAGCTACATAGAAAAAGCACTTAACAGACAACAGCAGCGTTAGATATCAAAAGATGAACTTATCTAATGATGCCATAAGGGCTCGCAGAATCATTTTAACGAGGGAAATTCCCTGCCTAATTCATTGATGATACAATGCCGCTTAAACAGCATGAATATTGAATTCTCAATAGAGAAGGACGAGTTCATATCACTTATTTTTTGAAGTAGGGCTTTGAAAACATAAATTATAACCAGAAAGAGTCGAGCAGAATGAATAAATAAATGGAAAAAGGTAGAATACAAGTACTTGTGGGAGCTAAGTAAAAATTTAGATCGTCTAACAGCACCAATAGTTCATGGCAATAAATGGAAAGCCTAGAAAATATTTAACATTCAAGCATCAACTATTATACATTATTGAAAATTGCCTTGATCAGATGTGAATCTCGAGTTATATTTGGATTTGAAACTTTCAAACTTGTCGCGTCCTGAAATATTCGCAGCTGTAGAGATATATAAAGTTTAACGACCTAGTTTTATACGAAAATTCAACAAAAAAAAAAAGAGATGGATGTATCAATCACAAGAGACCAGAATTTTTATGTGAAAACCGATGAAAAGGGGAAAAAACCATGGGACTTGGCCAAGTTGAAATGAGTCCACTATTATTGATGGTTGATTACAAATGATTCCCATCATTGGAGGAAGGCGCTGGCTCAATGCAACAAATATACAATATATATATATATATATATATATATATATCGCACAGTACATAGTCGGAGAATAGCATAACAAATGTTCTTTAAAGAATGTTGATATGTTTGTTTGTTCAATAGTATCGTAGTCAGTAGGCTACGGTGGTCAAAAGAGCCATAGCCGGTGGGCGATAATGGTTGGAAGGGTCGTAGTCATCAGATGACGATGGTTGGAGTGACGGTAGTCAGCGGACGATAGTAATAGGAAGGACAATAATTGGCGGGTGACGGTGGTTGGAAGGATTGTAGCCGTCAAGCGACAAAGGTAGGGAAGAAGTTCGGTGTTAGTCGACAGCTAGGTAAAAGTTTGACAGTAGTCGACGAAAGTTCGTTGGTGGTGGTGATGAGGTGGAGCTTCAACCTCAAAGCTCTTCTTTTCTTCCTCCACTTCCTCCCATCCTTTCCATGAGAAGAATATTATTTATTTATAGTTTTTTAGGAAGTTGCAAGCTCTGTAAATATAGAGAAGATGAATGACATGTTGGGAGTGTTTCAATGAACGACTTATATTGATTCCTTTGATCGTGGAGCATTTATCAAGCATTTGAGTGCCCAAATGATGTCAGAATCAAGCAATCTTGGGCTCATTGGATTTGTCTCGTCGAGACACTCGATTCAACTATAAGCATGTTACATTTGGCCATCCAATTTATGATTTGAGCCTTCCAAACACGCTTCAGGTTTTGGATTTGGACCCATTTGGGCTCGAATCGGGTTGAATTTAGTGTCGTTGGGTTCATCTTCTCGAGACATTCAGTTCGACTATAAGTTCCAGGAAATCGAAGCTTGGATGACTCTAGATTTAATTTTGGAAATTCCTGACTTGAATATACTTCGAGATTCGTGCCCGATCAAGATAATTTTTTTGGTGATATATCAAAACTTAAATTCAAGATCATCCGAACTCTAATTTCTACAAACTTATAGTCGAACAAAATGTCTCGACAAGAAGAATCCAATGATAGTTACGCCACCAAAAATGATCCAATCTGAGCCCGAATGATCCCATATCAAGCATTAGAAGCATAATTTAAAATTTTGAATATTAATTGGATGATCAAATTATCTCTAAAATTGACATTCTTATAATTGAATCGAGCGTACAAGACGAATCCAACGAGCCCAAGATCGCTTAAGGCACTTAACTATTGAATGAATGCGTTATTATTAAGGGGATTAATACAAACCATCTGATAGAGTGATCTAGATTTTCTACATATTTACAGAACATGCCACTCCCAAAAATTTATAAATATGCCTCCATTCCCTACATGAGAGGTATGTTTGGCCAGAGATTCATGAGGACTGAAAAGCTTGAAGAATTCGGAAGCTCCACTTGAGTGCCATTGCCAGCGAGGATGACCGTCATCGACGAACCTTTGTTGCTCAATCGCCACCATCGACCTTTCGCTAGCTAATTTTTGTTGTCGAACTTTCACTAACTAACCATCAATGCTTGACTTTCGTAGGTCGACCATCGCCACCAAACCTCAATTGCCCGACCGTCGTCACCTGACTTCTCGCAGGCTATTTATCGTCTGACCTACGTTGTCCAATGACCGCCATTGGACCTTATGCTACTCGACCGACATTGTCCGATCTCTGCAACACGAGCCGTCGTTGTCAGAATTCAGTCACCAAACTGCTGTGTCAGACTTTCCATTGACTAACTGCCACTATCAGACCTCCACCACTTGGATGTCACCGTCAAACCTCCGACGGCTGACCGCACTGGTTGAAACTTTCATTGACTGACTGCCACCGTTGAACTTTTCATCTACCAAATACTAGTGTCGAACATCCCTACAGCCCAATAGCAACCGTTATACATTCGCCGCACAACCATCATAATTAGACTCGTGGGTACTCGACCTTAAAAATCCAAACAGGACCACCATATTTTCCGTCAACTCTCCAAACTCTTGAAAATTTACCATCTCCAAACTAAGGGACTGGCCAAAATTTATAATTCCAACATATATAGTGAAATCATTTAAAGTAGACAAGATCCTATATTTTTTTCCTTCTTTGAGTTTTCCATGTAGAAAATCTTTGGCATTATGTCTTAGACATTCAAGCAAAATTAGGACGCAAAACTCTATTTCTCTACCGCTACAATTTTTCTAGGTTGCAACAAACCTAAATAAAATTCAAACTCTTAAATTCGAACAAAAAATTAAAAACTTGAGAATTGATAATGGTACAAGTAACGCCAGAGTCACCACTTTACTAGTCAAAAGTGTGCTAGTCTTAAAATATGATAGTGATACTCAAAGCCACTCGTGTGTGTAATGAAAATTCAATAATATGCTACATATTCAACTAAGAAATTGTTGTCATGGACTAACACGGACTACTGAAGAGCTTATTAAAGAACACCATGCAACCATCATTAATAAGCTGTATGCTTTTTCCCCAAACTGGTAAAAAATGAGGCGTTTGGTAATGCTTTTAAATAAATACCAATTACCTGTCTGTAAGCTAAACATATTTAAATGTTCAACACTCAATAAGTATCATGCTCTGGAGAAGAATCAAGTTCATATTCCCTGGATAAAGGTTCATCTTCTTCCTCATCAGAATCATAATCATTCATACCCGGAGAATCATTTAGTTGAACATCAACGTCATTCACCTGCCGAACAAACTGCCCTCGCACTCTTGGTCTTTTCTCAGCAAGCCGCTTACGGTTTATATATCTGATCTTCTTATCGTAACACCGTTCCTTCTTTTTTTGCTTAAACTTCTTAAGGGCTGCTGCCCGCCTTTCAGCAAGACCATTTGTTGACTGTGGCATATGTGAACTAGTAGAGGATGAGTACAGATGCGTCAGAGGCCTATGCCCCGAAGGCAAACTAATGGGAACAGGATAGTAAGCAAAATGCTGCATCATAGGAGAATGATGAGACTGAGGTACATCATACAGTGTTCCCTGAACCCCTTGCATGGATGAAGGATGTCCATGGAGATAAAATGGTACATGGAACATTGGTTGCATTCCAAGAACATCTATTTGTCCCTCAGTTCTTGGAAGTAAATGTTTACAGGGAGAAGCGTGACGTACAATAACGGGTAATTCCTCGGGATCTTGTAACATACTTCTATTGCAAACGTCCTCGTTACTTGGGACAAAATTTTCCAGAAAGTGGCTTTCAATGTTGCCTCTAACAAGAAGATTTTCCTTTCCATTCAAAAGGCCAGGTGGAGTAGCATCCCGATCTAGATGGCTAGTTGGAGCTCTTGACTTGACATAAGTAATAAAGGCAGAAGACTGACCGATTTTTAGATCCATCTTCGTAGGCCATGAAAGTATTTTTCCTGAGGAAACTGGTATACTATTGTTCTTTAAGATAACCGTATGAAAAAAAAAGAAAAAAAAGATCCATCAAGCAGACAAAGCTTCAAAATGCTTACCAGGATGATTAGAATGCTGCAGAGCATTATCCTCTGATAAAATGTTTTGATCAGATTCCGCACGAGATTCATCAAACTGGAGACATTGATAAAAAAAATGGAAAACTTGATTCATCAATTAAGCTTCGTTTGGGCGGCTTTATTACTTATTCCTAAAGCAGCTTTCTAGTTGAAAAAAATTATTTTTTCCATTAAAAAGCTGTTTTAAGAAGCAATAAGAAAGCTGTTCCAAATAAAGCCGAAGAAAATAGCCGACTTTCATGTTGAGGGTCAAGCTACATTATATTTCCAATAAGAAAGTATTTAGTAAAAGGCTGAGCAAAATTTTTTTCTCAACGCCATAAAAATGATACAAGTTAAAGAACCTATACTGCCAGAAATTTTTGTCGTTGTACCAAAAGCGATTTAAATTTTACCTCATGATCCTTCTGATCTAATAGAGTCACTTCCTGGTGTCTAGTCCTAATCTTGTCATCAGTGTCCTCTGAGAGGAAAGTAGTGCTATTAGTATTGGCATCACTATGGTCTGAGAATATCATTCCAATGCTCTGGTTAAAATAATCCTTCTCTGCCTGCCCAAGCTGTCAAGATAAGGCAATAAAATACAAGATCTAGTCATAGGCTTGGTCCCTTTGTGGCTTGTCATGTTTCACCATTGTCAAATGCAAGAGCGATTATTCTGTGCGGATACCGGACGGGAGAACCGTCCGGTTCCGCACTCGGTACCGAGTGCGGTACAATTTTTGGGGCTACGTGGTGCATTTTTATTGGTCTCCGGACGAATCCGGACCCGCACATAATAATTTTTCTAAATGCAATATACACCTTTTACATAGACATGATGAATATAGTTCCTTATGACATGCCACGCAGGGGCCAATGCTGAAGCAGAGTCAGCGTAGAGGGGATATGAGAAGCAATGCACTATAAGAAATTCAAGTTTTTTAATACCATGTGCCTTCTTCTCCATGAGTGCGTCCACAAGTTCAATAACTCATTAGTACGCAGAGGCTTCACAAGATAGTCAGCTGCGCCCAATCTCAGGCACCTCGCAACGACTGAAACCTCATCTCGAGAAGACATCACTATGGTGTAACACACATCATAAACAAAGAATTAAAAAAAAAAAAAAATCAAGCAATTCATTGTACAAAAAATGCTTACTAATAATAGGAATACGCATCAAATCCTTTTTCCTGGATATGCATTTCAACATTTTCAATCCTTCGGCTATAGGAAGGTCAACTTCACAAAGTACAATATCAATTTCATTTCCATTAGTAAGCATATCAATTACTTGTCTAGCAGTCCTCACAGTTGTCACTGCAATATAACAGATTCACAAAAGTGCACTGTAAGTCTGAGAGCATGCATTAGTTAAGAACCCTTGTGGGCGGCAACTTGGTAAAAATTGTTAAAGTTATTGCCAAGATTGTGGAATCGAATTCCGAGAATTGGCAAGAAAAAAATATAAATTCACAAGAAGTATAATAAGAACAATTGGGAATGTGGCGACAAGAAAAACCTAGATCAGATTAAATCACCACTCACACCGGATTGGCTACAAAACCAATGATGGTAAAATTTCTATGCATCATGCTGCAAGATTATAGACTTTCTGAATGCAACACCAACAACAAAGCAAAGCGAAGTTATTTTAGAAGATATTAAATAGGTTAGTGCTCATATGATTTAGAATACCAGATCGGACATTTAAGAAATAAGAAATGCCAGAAAAAGTGAGGAAAAGGACAAAGCTGGATAGTTGAGATATCTTTTCAAATCTAACAACATTTATACAAATGGTGTGTAAAAACTAAAACTTATACTACGCGTGTTTTGTCAACACAAAACTCATGTTTGAGGACAGAAGTGTACTATTGCAAAAATTGTAACCATTTGAGTTGGGAACTCAATTTCATCTAAGCATTTAAATATTTGAGAGCTTCATGATTTGAATAGAAAAGTGCTCACACTATCGCAGAAAATTCACAATCAGAGATCGAATAATGTTGACACATGCATTTAGTTTCTTTCTAAAGAAAGTAATTGGATGTTCTTGTCTAAGGACTCCTCTAATGCTAATTCTAAAGACACCATTAGAACCTTAAAGGCCTTATTGATGTCAAGAAAACAAGAAAATCAATAAATGTAGACTAATCAACAGCTTCTTGATTTTGACAAATGTTCTTGAGGTAGTCGAGGTTCATATAAATTCAGTGATTCACACATTAGGAATTAGGTGATAAGGGTCATAATATTATTAAAGCCTCAATTAAACCTCGGGTGAAATGTGGTTAATCCATGCAAGGTATACAGTTATAGATAGAGATTTGCACTACCATTACCTAATGACCTAACCTTTTCTGAATCAGTTTAGACACCTTCACATGATACTATAAGCTAAGGAAAATAACTAAAGTCACCATAAATGAGCACTTCTTCATGTTTATATAGAGAATTTTTGCAGAGAGTTCAAAGCTTTTAAAAAATGGATATTGGTGATAGGTTTGTATATTGGATCTCTTATACGACCCAATACTAGGTGATTATAATGCAGAAGTGATCGAGTGCTCTACAATAAGAGAATATTATGAAGATTCAATGAAAAATTTATAAAACTTCAATTACATCTACGTATTGAGTAATAAAAAAGTTATTGATAATAAAATTGAGCAAAAAAGAAGAACAATAAAATAGATGTGTGGTAAAACTAAAAAAAAAAATAAACTAAGAAATGATTATATTAAAGGTATGGTGAGAGTAGAATATTTTCAAGATAAAGGAATGAAAAATAGTCTAAGTGGTTTAAACATTTATAATGAAGGGTAGAAAATGCATCCATTAGAATTTAGAATAGGTACACAAAATATTGAAGAATTAGAAAGGCAAAGTAATGAGCTTAATTAGAAAGGCAAAATAATGCATGGAATAGGTTACACAATACTCAATAGAGATGAATGAAAAATGAAAATTTATCAAGTCAATCCAAAATAGTTGTTCAGACAAGGTTAAGACTTATTATATTATTTATGTGCCAATAATCATATCTCACAACCTGTATCATATTCATGATTAACAGAGTCAACAAACATTGCATACTACATCATGATATCTCCCCCACAAACGCCCACCCTTCTATTAATTTAGGAGATTATCAGGTGTGAAAGCTATTTTATGCGCCAAGTATTTTTACCATGAATTGCACCATGTTGTTCCTATGTTATGTCAATGTAGAGTAAAATACTAAGCATGTGTGGAGGAAATCTTTTGAGCTCTGCTCGACAAATAATCACTATTTTGCATAAGGTATAATTTGTACCGAAAAATACCAAGGAGCTATTTGATGCGATCCGCCTCCCGGTCGCAGAGGGAGGGATGGCACCCGCAGGCGAGCGAAAGCCGCGTGGGGGAATGCCACGCCAGTCGGCTAGCCGAAGGGGAGCGCGGGACGCGACGGAGCGGCGGGACGGTTCGGCCTTGAGCGGAACCGGTCCAATCCTGGACCGGTTTGGCTCGGGTCTGCCCTGAGCTGGGCGGTTCATTTTGGGCAGCCCACTAGTGGGTTTTGTTGGTCTTTTGGCTTGCTTTAAGTAAGGAATAGAGGGAGATTTCTAGGGTTATGCAAGATTTGAGTTTTCTCTTAGCCTCCTTAGTTTCTTTCTCTTGTTTTTCTAGGGTTTGTAGTGGGAGACCTTGTCCTTCTCGAAGTGGACAAATTGTATCTTGTTTCTCTTGGATTTTGAATGCAAATGTTCTTGTTCTTCCTCTCATCCCTCTTGTGTTGATTTTTTCTTGGATTTGGAGGAGAAATTTCATCTTGAAGGAAAATTAGGGCAAACCCTAATTTGTGAAACCTAAGGCGTATCACTATTTCTCTTTGTTAATTAGGAAATTATTCTGTGCAGACTCCGGATGTAGCTCTATGTATTAAGACATGCTGATTTCTTAAGACTCGACGACCCAAACCAACCCAGCTATGAAAATTTTGAAATCGCGGCAGCTCACTCATTTTTTATGTTTTTAAAAAAGAAACCCTTGAAAGCTCTCAAATATTTAGGATTTTTGCTGAATAAACCTTTTGGTGCCTATTGAGAAAAAAAAAACGAGAAACAAATGATGAAGATGGAGATTGGTTTGAAGGACATCACATTCTCTGCAGAGCCATTGGAAAAGAAGAAAAAAACTTAAGAGTAAAGTGTATTTTACTTACCTAATAATTTCCTTTCAATGTATATTATGAGGCAAAATACATTTTATAGAGCTTAGTTTTTCAATAGAGAAATATGATGTAAAAGCAAATACAATAGAACTGTGTTCACCTTCAAAGCATATCAAGTTTTCAAACAAGCCCAAATACTTCAACGAGAAATTTATAAACTAGGCAACAATGATTTATGTATTTTTTGTGATGTTTCACACACATTCACTTAGAATGTATTCTTAAAAAATTTATATGTCGAATGCTGCGAAAACGTATACTTCTGTAAATCAACTATGTAAAATAACAATTTTTTGGACGCTCATTTATTCTCTTAGATGTAATTATTATGCATTTTTTATCTTTCATTTAGGTGATGTTTTTATTCATTTTGATGTTGTATACTGTTGTGGACCGTTGTGTATTGATGTTGTGTGCTGTTGTGTATTGTTGTTGTACGTGTACTGCATGAATGTTGTGTATTGTTGTTGTGTACTACTATGTACTGCATTAATATTATAAAGTGAAAGCCTAATTGGTAGGTTCCTAAGGCTCCTATCTAGCCTTCAAACATGACTTTTTCAACTTGCTTGGCCCAAAAGCTCTATTGCTATGCACCTTCTAATCAGAGGAATGACCTTTCCATAAAATGGAAGGAAGGTGGCAGGCCATCCAAGAGCCTAGCAATCAGAGCAATCTTTATTGTGTATAATGATTTATTTTTCCTGGAGCTACCCCTGGATACCCCCGCAGGGGTGTTGCCCCTTGACCCCACAACTTGTCGGGCAGGTAGAACCCCGCCAGGGGGCACTGCCCCCTTGAACCCTCGCGGCTCTAGTTTTTTCAACTTCAAGTCTTCCTCTTCTTGGACATTTGGATAACGCCTTTCGATTTCCACATCCAGTGGGCATATCATCAGCTCAAAGAATGCAATATCCTCTTCCAAACCAATCTTCATCGTCTCTTCCGCATTTTTTCTTTCTCAAGAGGTGCCAAAAATTTTATTATGCAAAAAACCTAAATATTTGAGAGCTTTCGTGGGTTTCTTTTTCAAAAACATAAAAAATGAATGGGCCGACGTGATTTCAAAATTTTTCATAAATGGGCTGGATTGGATCATGGGGTCATAAAAATTTCATGTGTATTAATTTAATTGGAGTCCGGACAAGTTTGGAGTTGGCCGACACAGAATAATTTCTCCGTTTTCTCTTGTTACTCAGACTGGGTGCTTCCGTCTTGTCTGTGCCAATTATCCAAGTAATGATGAAATAATCGGATTGGATAAGAAAAGATAATGAAACTAAAGAAAAAGAAAAGTCAAAAAGTTAAAGGCAGATAAAGAAACAAGATATCATTTTTGTGTCAAATCAAGCAATTTCCAAAGTTATCCTAATTGCATCCAGAGTCTAATCAAATGAAAAGTCATTTACCTTCACCTTCATTCATGAAATTTAATCATGGTAACACAATCGATTTGTAAATTCATCTATAGAATTCTGAAGAAAGTGCGAACAAGAATTAAGAAGATTAGAAGGATTCATGTTACGGAATGCTCAAGTTAAACAGCTTGGTATCATAGCTTCAAAAGCTTGTGTACGAGAATAACCGGATGAGGACTGCAAGAAAAACACCGAGTGATCCTATCATATATCGATAGAGATACATACCTTGGTAGGAGCAGTTGTTGAGAAGCCGAAGAACCTCTTGGGAGCTCTTAGGATCCTTGTCGCAGAGAAGCACTCTGAGGTTGCTACGGTCCAGGGAAAAGCGACGGCCACCAGCATCTCCGCCCTCCAATCGGCCGCCGCCCTCCATCCCCCTTCTCATCTACAAATCCATGTGCTAGCCACACCCACCAATCAACTCCTATAGCTACCTATACCTATTCCCAGCGGCCAGGCCATGCGCAAAAGAGAGAGAGACAATGATGCCCCCGTCTCTCGAAAAGGACAGGAAAGAGAGATCTGAAGTCAGTCGAGAAAGCAGCTCCGATTGCAAGTCTTCCTCGCCAGACGCCCTCCTTTCACCGTCTTCGGTATCGAACCAGTTTCACCCTCTTCATCTTCGATCAGTTTATCGAACCAGTTTCGTCCTCTTCTTCAATCAATCAGGAAAGGGGCAGCGAGCTTCTTTTAAATATTTTTTTTCTCTTACCACGCATGACGAGCTGTATCAGGGTCCAAGTGGGCAAGCTGAATCGTCAGTCCGTAAGGACAGCACCACAAATGGCTTGTGGTCGAATTGATTTGACTATTTAGTAAAATTTAAGATATTTTTATTTAAAATATATTAGAATTTTTAAAAATTAAATAAAATATTAAAAAAAATTCTGTTGTTTTTAAGTTAATATATTCAGAAACATTTCTAGCTATTATTTTGAATTACCAAACAAGCATATATAGTGATTATTTTTTGTCTAGTAAGGGGCTTTGAACTATCAAACAAGCACAAACTGCCAAATGAGCTCATCACAAACAAATGGGCTATAATTATTCTTATAAGAAAGCTTGTTCATGAATAATTAGAACAAACAAAACAAAATTAATGGTAATAAACAATATTCTTTTAGGAAAAAATGCAAGATGGTGTAAAAAATAAGGTTGTGAAAATCGGACCAAACAAAGAACTGGAAGAAGGAGACGTTTTCGGTTCAGCTGGTTCCACCAGAGTTCAATCGGAAGACGTAATAAATAATAATATTATTTTAATATAAATTTAATTTACATATAAGTATATAATTTAATATAAATCATTACTAATTTATGTTAGAATTTTAATATAAATTATACCTATAAATCATATATATGAAATAATAATGGTATAATTAACATGCAAAAATATAAATGTAATACTAAAAAAATTATAAAAAGAAAAAAGAACAATTTTTATAATTTAAATTTAAATGAATTTTTAAATTGGTGTCCGGACCTATCTCTACGTCCGATGACCAGACCTAATAATTTTCCCACATAGGGAAGTGGAACCATGTTGGTTTGATTAATTAATGTTTAGTGTATAATTTTTGGAGTTTATTGAATATATTATATTTAAATTTATTTGATATTTAATTAAATATTTTTATTAAATTAAATTACTTAAAAAAAATTATGCATTGAACCAGTTGGATCTTAAAAATCAAGATTCAATTCACCGGTTGAACTGGTGGTTCAAACCTGTTCCCACTAGTTTAATGTTTGGTTGGGTTTTTCATGAGGACCAATCTGGCCACATGCACGATTCATGATTCACTCCTAAGGATGGAGTTAGCTTTAATCTTTAGGACGATCAAATTTATTAAAAAAATAATAAATATATATATATATATAAGATAAGATAAGATTTAAAATAAATTCTTATATTACATTATAATTGATAAATAAAAAGTTACAAGTTTTGCATTCTATTTGTCATTTTATGATATTGTTGCATTACAGCTTCATTTGAAATGAAGTTAAATATTTCTTTCTCAATATATGATACTGGATAATTATTGAGCCAGTCATCACCCATTTTAACAATCTTCATTTTAGAAAATACTCTCTCCATTATAGCAGTGGCAAGTGACGGAGTTAATGCCAAGACAATAAACCTGTAAATAAGGGGATACACATTATCTTTCTTAATCTTAATAATTTATTTTGCAAAATCAATAATGCTACCAAAAAAGGAGAACTCCTTGTTTTAGACATATCAAGAATGTATATGGACAACTGGTATTCAAGAGCCGCAAATTTAACTGTAATATAACTCGACAACTCGAATTAAAATCTCTTTATCATAAGCGAAAAAATGAGTTACTTGGATTTAGACACAACATAAAGAAGCAATTTAGTAGTAGTTTTAGAAATCTATTATGCAGCTCTTCAAGTTATATATCAACAACAATGTAAGATAAATCCTCGTGATAATGATGCAAATTTTGTATTTCCTTATTTCTCCATACTGATTATCGATGAGTTTTGAATGTAAAATTCAAACTAGGAACATCAACTTTAAAAATATTACAAAATATGATACTTCATCAAGTAAAGAATCTCATCCATTTTTTCTCTCCATTTCTAATCATTACTTGGAGTCTTGCAGTAATTTTATTGAATTCATGAGATCTTGATATTTTCTTTGTATGTCTTATGATAATAAATTATTATATTGATTGGCTCTAAAAGCATCACTCCTCTTAAATGAAGCTCAAATATTATTTATAATTCTTAAAGTGATCTAAAAAAATGTTTCTACTCAAATAGAGAATTCACTAAACATTGCTTACTAGGATGTCTATAGCAATCAAAGAAATTAACAGTAATTTCAAATTTTATGAAGATAAAACTAATTTTACCATTATAAGAATAGCTAAAATTTGGACTTCAATATCATCTGGTATAATGCCCTTGTTCAGTGGTTCTATGAACTCCTTGAGTATACAAACTTTCCTGCATAAGTAATAGAATGATAGGCACGCTATTACCATTTGAATCAAAACAACACTACATCGATTTAGTTGAGACTCCAAATACACTAGCACTACACAAATTAAGATCCATTTTCATCATATATGGGGATAACTCTACCTTCGATATGCATAAATATAAACAACGACTAGATTTAGAATAGAAACTTAGACGTCATCTAACACGAACTTACAGTTGCATTATTTTTGCATTTTTACCAAGCATAATGGTAAAGAACATGAACCAAAAAAAAAAAAAAAAATAGTGACAACATCAAATGAAAACCCAAATCAAATCACAGGCTTCCACAATGATCTAAGATCATAAAACAAAGAAGAAGAACATACAAGCATTAAAACAAGTAGTTTTACTACTTATCCATCAAGAAGTTATGAGTAATAAGTCCTTGCACTACAAAAACAAGTCCAAAATAACATCAAGAAAAACACTAATCATTATATTCAAACCAGTGAGAACTCCTTAATTTCTTTCTTGCACTACAAAATAACATACACAAAATGAGTATTTTGCCCTTACACTAAAAACCTTAAAATGGTAGCCATCACTCTTATGTGAAAGAGCCCAATCAGACAATTTTCATCAAACATCTTAATTTCCAAAAACTCGGGCATAAATTGGTTAGAGGTAGGGTAATAAGAACCTTAACAAATTCAAAGAATTAATTAACATCTTCTTAAGTTATGTTCAAAGAAATGAATTAGAGAACACATACTTTAATTTAAATATCTGAAATAAATTCAATTGCATGATTGAATATATCAAGAAACAAATATACATCTTCCAACTTCCTCTATTCATCCTCAATAGGACAACTTATGTAGGAAGAATCTCTATCTTGAAATCTATGGAACACCTCTCTTTTTTATGATGTATTTATGATAATATATATTATAACAGTTAATTAATTTTATAATTTTTAAATAATCATTATTATATTATTATATTATAATAAATGTAAAATATTTATATTAGATTTATTAAACTTTCGATCAAACAAAAATTGAGCTTTTTAACGAGCTTCTTAAAAAGCTTCATATTGAGCTTATTTACAAGCTTCAAATGATTTTGTTCATGAACATAAATGAGTTGAACACATAGTTATTTAAACTTGTTTATTAAAATATCATATATTTAAAAAATATTTAATCTTACTTAATTAATAATAACAAATGAATTTTTATTGATAAGTTATTTGTTCAACGCTCAGGTCATTTACATCTCCAGACACGGGCGAATTATTGCGTATGGTCACCGGATGTCTGGACATCCAATCCGGTGACGCCACGTTACTCAAATACACTAGGTCCCTGGTGACGTGGCGACATCGGATTGGTGTCCAGACGAATCTGGTGTCCGGATGCAATAATTTGCCCCACACACGAGAGTAGAATCATTTTGCTTTACTTACTCTTCTAGGCTCAATTAATGTGAGCTGGCGCATATTTTGTACGTCGATCGATGGGATCAGGTTGGAGTCGCTACCCAATTAGCACATGTTTTGGTGGGCCAGCATGGGGGTCCGACACAACTGGGCCCTCAAAGGAAGATAGTAGGCAAAAGTGGAGGTGCCAGTTGTAAACATATCTTATGCAGTTGTTCCTGCATTGATGTGTTCATCAACAATTTAAGGTATGTGGGCCTTCAAATGGAACAATTATTACGTCCTCTGATCAGACGTAGAGCTATGTTTGGCCGCCAATAACATGTTGTCACGTGCTCTTACTCTCTAACGCGCGGCCCGATGACTTGACCCGGACCGGAACCTAGCAATTATTACAACTCAGTATTACTCGGTATTTGCTCGGTATTTGCTCGGTATTGGTTATTGCCAAACAAATCGATCAATACCTAGCAATACCAAGTAATACCGAGCAATACCTAGCAAAATCGAGAAATACCGAGCCATCCTGGGTCCGTTCCGGGTCAGGTTGTCAGGGCGCGCGGTAAATAGTGAGAACGCGTAGCGCGATTCTACTGGCGGCCGAACGTAGAGCTACGTCCTGTGACCGGACTAAATAAAAGTTCCTTCAAATGGGGGTGAAGAAACTGGGAAAAAAACTGGGTACCAAAATTCAGTCAAAAATTTATTATTGAAATTTCATCAAAAAATATGTATCCAATCATAGAAAATTTTTTTGGGAGAATATCCAATTATAGCATAACTTTCACATATTAAAGTGTTGACCGTTTTTTTTTTATCATTCAAATTTTATTTTTAATAATAGAATTATTATCAAAATGAATATTTTAAAAGGGCGAATCCAATGATATTAATAATATATCAATTAGAATATTAATAATTCTTGTTTAAAAAAAAATATTACTAATTACCTTAACTAGTCATCCTTATTACTACTTAATTTGAATTTACATGTTATGAATATAATCATTGAATTTTGAATTTTAAATTTTGAATGGAATAATGTAGCTTAAAGATTGAATGTGTTTGAAGATAAACTTAAAATTTTCTTAGTTCACTATCATTTATACTAGTTCCCCTAACTTATCATTTGTGAATTTAAGTATAAGATTGCAGTTATACTCTAAATTTTTATTTTATACCAATTTTTGAATGTATGAAGTAGTGCTCATTTGAATTATGATATAAAATTTTATTATTATCCTAATTTTTATTTTTTTTTTATTTTTTTTATTATCCTAATTTTTACATAATTTTAAAC